TTATGTTTATAAGAGACAATAACTATAACAGCTGCAAATATGGATTTCATTATGATATTTTAAATGCCGTGACGCCCCGTAAGATTATAGTATAGCGAACTTGGGAACTATAGATAAATAACTATAAATATAGTGAAGCGAAGAAATAAAATTCTATAGTAGCTATTTTGTTTTATATTTTAGAAGACTACGTGTATTACAGGGATTTGACTAAAAGTATAACTTAATACATACTTTCTTAAAAAGACCAATATTCACAGCCTGGTCTAGAATGGCTGTTTAGTACTCGCAGATGTGTTTATATTTTAAGTGGATCAGAGACATTTTATCATCACACTCAGACAGGGATAACTATAGATTTGCTCATCACTTCCTTATTGTTCTTAAAAAGAACAGGGGGATAAAAAAAAGACAAAAATAAAAGAAATATTCAAATATAAAATACTGGAAATGCCTTCTGTATTGTATAGCAAAAGCAGACAAATCCAGTAACCTCATTAAATAGAAAAAATTCGAGCATACAAAGCCAATAAAGAAAAAAAGTGCATTAGAAACAATTTAGTAATGTAAACAAGGCCGTATATATCAGATGTGTTCGGCGTATACCCAGGAAAAATCTTGAATTATCTTCCCATATACTGAGGAAGGCTAATTAGCTGCTCAGAGTTAAAAAGGAATAGAGGGGCGCATATAGCAAGATAGTTATCCAGCCCAATGTCTGGAGCAGCTATAATGAAGAATCTAACTATAACAAGAGAAAGAAGGAATTCATTTCTGTTAAGAGACTCTGGCACAGGCATAGAGCCAATAAAACCAATTGCTAAATGCAGGAACTCGTCATTTGTGATTTCAGTGTTTCGTATATCATGTACTGAGTGGAGAGCTTTCATTCCTATTTCAGAGTACTTCATCATGTCAGAGGGAGAAAGAAGCCTGTATATATATGACAGATACCCTATAAAGGCAGGTATTCCTTGAGCTAAAGAGTACTCATCTGTCATAACAGAAGAAAACTCGTTTTTATCTAAGATGTTTGAAGATGCCTTGAATGAATGGTATTTTAGTATATTCACTACTTCTTTTCGGAGCTTTTTGTCAAAGGAGGCTGCTTTACAGTTTGTTACAGAAATAGAAGAAAGAGACACTGCGTACTCATTTAGCGCAGCATCAATCCATGCTTTGATTCCGAACAGCATGGGCTCACTAATTCTGTTTTTTTGTCCATACGCGTACACATCAGAAGTAGAGACAAAGTCTCTCTGTGCTCTTATAGCAAGCATTCTTCTGTGGCTGTTCTTGACATCAGTCTTTGCGAGTTTTTCTCTGAGTGATCTGTTGACAGGCACAACTTTTTCTTGAAGCAGCATTTCTAGCCCCTTTATTGTAGAAACATTTCTGCACTTGCATGCATCTACAAATCTCTTCTGGTTTCCATCCCATTTGAAGTTAAGGCGAATCCAATGAACTCGAACATCATTAACTATATCAGTAACAAAGTTAGGCACTGGTGGATATAAAGAGGAAACAGCCAGGTCAATATAAATTGTTGGATATTCTGTGTCTTGTGAGGCAGGTATGCACCCAAGCACTTCCTTTTTAGAAATAACAGCAATCACGATCTTTCCATTAACAACTACAAGATTTTCCTTTGTAATGATAACCATTCCATTTGTCAGCTCATACATCTCAATGAAGTCATCTACACAGTCTGGAAAGACAATTCCAGAGGCTGCGAGAGACTTGATCTTCTTAAACCTCTCTGTGGCCTTCAGCAGCTCTGTTAGTCTGTCATTGTGTTTAGACAGTAGAAGAATTTCCTTCTTGAAAAGTAAACCCTCTGGGCCCTCTTCCACAGTACTCGATGACTCCTCTGCATTTTTATTGGCCTCCGCCGCTTTCAAAGCTGCTTTTTTCTCTATTTCCGCGCATCCCTTCTCCAACGAATTCATTGCCTCTGTTATGTATAGTCTGTACTTGATGAGGCGGTGGTATATGTCTACAAAGAGTAGGCACAAATTGCAGTTAAATTTCCTTTCAGCCGCCATCACCTCTGAGCTGTACTTCTGCTTGTACATTGCAATATTCTCCTCAACTGACGCAATGTATGTAATAAAGGTAGGCGAATAAATGACTGAGGACAGTTTGTCAAAATACGCAAGCATAGAAGTGCTTACTGTCTCCATAGCAGCATTTACTAGCTTCTTATCAATTAACTGCTGAAGTTTCTGGAATGCGTCAAGCCTTACTTTTGTATCTCCATATAATGCAGCAAGATCCGCAGCATTCCCCTCAATGCATGCATTCACATCCACATCAATATAGTCTTTAGACATTGTTCGAATGATAGTTCCCAAAAATACATCACTAAGCAGGCGTATAATTGCCTGTAAATTAGTGAATATTTTATTGTGGTCTGAGTTGTATAGCCAGTTTCCGACCTCTTTAATGCAGACCTTGCTTCTTTGTAGCCCCATTATGAATGAAAGCTCTCCTGCATAGAAGCTCTTTTGGCCTTCCCTCAGAATAGAGCTAGACTTATCAAATACCCCATCTGCAGCAGACTTGTACACAATCTGCGTGTTTTCTAGCAGTCCTGATGCTTCATCGCTCATTACTATGCTGAATTTACACTGAAACATCTCTCCCTTGTCTGTTGCCTCAAATGCAATCAGTGGCTCGATTGGCTTTTCTCTTTTATTAATCTCAGGGAATGAAGAAAACTCACCCTCTGGATACTCGTTTGTGTTTGTGCTGGATTTTTGCAGACCAAATGAAGTTTTAAACATTTTGGCAATGCCTGTTCCAAGTAAAAGACCAATAACACCAGATTTGCTCTTACTTGTCAGCTTTCCATCCCCGGTTCTTTCATCTTTCTTTATGACTTGCACTATTCTTCGCTTTTTACTCGGGCACTTCCCAAATCGCTGAATCTGAATGACTTGGATCGCAGACCAGATAATAGACTGGGTGAATGCATCATGCTTGTCTTCATCTTTTGTGACAGGCATATTTTCTATAGGCACCGCGTATTCTGTCCCTGCAAAAAGAACTCGCCCATGTATTTGGGAGGTTTTCTGGAAGACTGCAGGTCCTTTGTTAGTAAGTATTACAAAATATTCCATGAAATTAAAAATCTATTTTAATTATATGCTAATTTAATTTACCTGATTGATGCTGCCCACTTAGCTCCACGGTCTCTTTCGACCTATTTTACTAATAGATAGATCTAGTGGCACAATTAAACCAATTTATAAATTCTGGCCATACCTGTATTTAATGATTTTATCTATAAATTAAACTAGCCCGATATAACCCGAACTATGAAAATTCTAAAGCCAAACTTAGCTAAAAACTCTGCAAATAGCTTCAAATAAGTAAATATAAGAAATACTCCAAATGCAATAAAAATGTACGAGTGGGTATATAAACAAGTATTCTATCTAATACTATCAAAATTATATTTTATATCCAAAAATAATATAGCAGGCATTCTAATCGCTTCCGAGTATATTTTAAATTGAGTCTACTCTGGGTATACACTGTAAATTTATGCAGAAAATGATCCCACCCATACAGAGTGTATTATTTCATTTGAATTGTTCTTAATAATAGTTTGCTTAAATGCCTGCCTGCCCTCTTCTGCATTTCCCGCTGCAGCCTCTATTTCGTATCTAGAAGGTATGTTTATATAGTCAAGTATCATATTAACAGCATGCACGGCTCCCTCCATATATCTCTGAGAGGACAGCACAGATAAGTGCATAGAAAACTTAAGATGAATACCCAGCTTGTGCACTTCATTGTCTAATGCGCTTGTTAATATATGCCGAATCATTGGAATACTCTTTTTGTCGTATGCCACTATCTCCAAGCTGTCAAATATACTGGGCCCCATGTGTTTTATCACGCAAGCATTGCCGGGAGCATACTGCACGCCTACTCCTTTTGTAATCTTTCCTGTTATAGCTATATGTATCCCGTTCTTTTCTTCCTGTATTTCGATGGGAATATCCTCGTTTCCATTAAATATTCCTCCATCCAGCTGCATTGGCGTGCTCTCTTCTTTCATCATTATGGAAATTTAAAAATAACTTGGATAAATGCATTTCCCAATTATTTGGATTTTATTTGTCGCATAAGTCCATGGCAGGAAAGAAACTCGTTGAAATTGAAAGGACAGGCAAGAAAATACAAGAAAGTAGCAAGAATGTCTTGGCTCTAATAAAGAAGCTGGGATATGCCAAGACAGCGGGCGAAATAAAGCCTATCCCGAAGGCCCCTCTTCTGACGTATCAAGACAGAAGTAAATACGAGAAAGAGCTTAAAAAAGAAGTAAAAAAGTTGAATACCCTTAAAGAAATGCTCCGGAGTGGTCCCAAAGAGGATAAGATCAAAGAGGAAATAGAGGTATACAGAAAGGGCGTAGAAATGATGATTGAGATGGAAGTGGCAGTTAGTGGCAGCCTAAGGGAAAAAGCTGAAATATTCCGAAATAATTCAGAAAGTGAAAAAATATCTGAGGCACTAAAGAACTTAGAACTGGAGATAAAAACAAAGAAAACGACCCAAATAACTGTAGAATATATGAAAGCATTATTAAAACAGGCGGTGGAAAGGAAGGAGCCCCTCCACAGCTATCTAAACGATTATTATGATGGAAAGGTGTCGATACTTGACTTTGCAAACGTACTTATTAGCAAACCAGCGAAGCCTGAAGAGAATGAGACAGAAGATGCCTGGCAGGGAGAAAGGCCAGCAGAAACAAAAAGAAAGAAGAAAGAAGTGCCTGCGCCAGTACAATATCCGCAAGCTAAGCCAGAAAAAAGTGAAAAGAGCCATTTCGACCATGTGCTGAAAAGAATTGAGGGAATAAAATTAAAAATTCCTATGGACATTCAGCTTGTAAATAGTATGCGAAACTATCTTAACTATAACAGTACGTGCGGCATGGCATACGCCATGGATGAAAATGAAGACATGCCAGATTACTTCCCAAGTAAAGCAAGCATTCTTCTGAGCAGCCCAGATTTCTATCAAAAGCTAGACATGGACACTCTCTTCTTTATATTCTACTTCCACCAGAATACTCCGTGCCAATACTATGCAGCAAGGGAGTTAAAGAACTATTCCTGGAGGTATCACACAAAGTATATGGCATGGTTCCAGAGGTTAGAAGAACCCAGCATTATCACAGAGGACTATGAACAAGGAACATACATCTTCTTTGACTACGAAGTATCCTGGAGCAGTAGAAAGAAAGAGAACTTTAGATTTGACTACAAATATTTGGAAGACAGTGCCCTATAAAATAAATACCTGATAAATATACTTTACTATAAATATGCTCTAGTGCATAAATTAATTATTTTTGGTTCTTTTGGGCTGTTTTTATTTTGTAATTTGCAATTAGTCGTATCTGGGCATCCTGATTCATATTTGTTTTGTTATTTATGTTATATATTGTTTTCTTCTTTTTTTTTATGTTTTCCGGAATGGGTGCGTTATTCGTGGTTCTCCTGCGTACATTCGCAGATGTTCTTCACACTCTTTCCATGCTTATTTTACTTGTAAAAATGAACAGAACCAAGTCATGCTCAGGAATATCTCTAAGATCGCAAATTCTCTATCTATCGGTTTATATTCTACGGTATTTAGATCTGTTCTATTTAATGGTCTATCCTCCCAAAAAGATACCATACAGGTTGATATATAATTCGTTCATGAAAATATTTTTCATATCCTTACAGTTAAACATTATATATAAGATGCTGTACAGTTATTACTACTCGTATGATAAGGAGTATGATGATATGCCAATAATATACATAATAGCAGTAGCGCTTGTATCTGGGCTATTGTTGTGTGATACAAAAATATCCGCCCATATCATTAGGGGAACGATTGAGTGGCTATGGGCTGCATCTATTGTGCTTGAGTCTGTATCAATACTACCGCAATTATCACTACTGCACCGAGTGGGTGAGGGTGAAATATTAACAATTGAGTATGTTATAACCCTTGGATTGTACAGATTTATCTATATGCTTATTTGGATCGGTAAATTTGTGTCAACTGGCGAAGTAGCAAGTCATTTACTTCTCTGGGGATCAGTCGTGCAGTCTGTTATATATCTAGAATTGTTCTGGGTTTATGCTAATAGAGTTATAAAATCTGGACGGAAGTTTACTCTCAAGCCAAAAAAGTTCTTGCGCGATGCGTTCTTATAAAATAAATGTGTTTATGCTGGGTAGAATGTGTTTAAACTGTAATAACTCAGATTTAAATTGTGTATGCTATAAATTGCTTGTGTATATTGTTTGCTTGTTCTCCTATATACTATAAAATATACATGTAAAACTATATAAATAACCTGAAATGCATTATATAAGGCATAAAAACATGCTTATATTCAATATTACAGAAAATATACATAACCAACAAGCGAATTGTGGAATTGTTTGAGTTATTACAAATTATTACATATTTTATTCATAATATACATTCTACATATGGATAAACTATTTTAAAGTAATTACTGCCATAAGAACAATTGCTAATATTTTAAAATAAATACCAAGGTGTACAAATAAAATTATTTAAAGTTTGTTTAAATTCTGTTTTATTTTCAAAATGATTTGAGTTATAGGAAATAATCCGGAAATAATCCAAAATTATTCCAACTTGACTTGAATATGTCTATTTATGCTTCATTGCAATTTAGGCCGGGGCTCTTTTATTTGTGCGCTTTTTTCAAAGTAATCTATTAGGTCAGTTACTGTTTTTGATGCGTCTGTAAATGTATTCGGCTTCTTAATATTTTCGACTTCAAAGTTCTTCTCTTTATTTTTACTTTCTAAAAGTGCATTCCTTGTTTCGATAAACTGTATTTCTTCTACCATGTTTATTCTGTTGATGATTAACATGTCCATTACCTCTAACAATTTTTCTTTCGACTCTATGCTCTTTTGCTTTACTTCTATGGCTTGCTTAATTATTTCGTTAATTTGCTTTTTGTCTTTGCATGTTTTCTTTATCTCTGCTAGTCTTTCAAACATGTTTTAGGCCTCTCCTGGTTTTCTTTTCTTTTGTTAATTATCCTATTGGACAGTTTCTGCTGGGCTTTTATCACACAGGCTGGACTGAAGAATGTACTGCTCTAAAAGAGATCTGTCCAATTGTTCTTCTCCTATATCTTGGAATCCAATAATTCCCCCTGTAAAGTATCCGTCCGAGAATGTGGCTAAATACGGCAGTTGTTCTATCTCCAGTTTTTCTGTCATAAAAGGAAACTTCACTGCTTCAGCACATAGAAATTGTATTTTCGGATAATTTGGTGCAATTTCCTCAAGAACTGCATTCATTTCCTGGCACCTCCTGAATCTCCTGTCATAAAAATGGACTAGCATTCTTTCACTTTTTGATTTTTTGCAAAGAAGAGATTCGTCTGTTATCTCTTTCAGGCCCATTTGCTTTTTAAGCTCTTTCATCCTTTTTTCTTGAAATTCAGCTAATATGTCTCTGTCTCTCTCTGCATACATAAAAAGTTTTTACGCACTAGCTCAAATATTTTTAATAATAGCTATTATAACTCATGCTTGTTATCTAACAATGTTTCATCGTATATTCATAAGGTATAAGAATTAATCCTGGCTTGTATCAATGTATAACATGCAGAAGACCATCCGGTGGAGTAAAACCAAAATATTCTTTACATTTTTTGGATTTATTTTTTCAATTGCCGTTGTATTTTTTAGCTTAGTTCCTATTTTTAATAGGACAGTCACTTCAGAAAATGTTTTGACAATCCTTGTGGGAATTATTCATTCGCTTAGAATGGTTGAGTTCTTGTTTATATTAACAGGCGCCCAGTGGTTTGTTTGGCTTATTACAACATATATGCTAAATGGACTAGCACTTGCGCTGTTTACTTATCCTGAAATTATAGAGGTTCTGAATAATGCACTGGGACAGACTGAAACAGAGTAAATCTGGCCGCGTCTTTAGCTGAGCCCAATAGTGAACTGTTACATGCACGCTCTAAACTACCTAAGGTATACACAGAGTAGCTATGGCAATGCTTCTGGCTAAATATTATAAGTGGAAATATATACATATTTTATATGCCTACCATGGATTATCGTACGTTGCAGGTGACCAAGACGCCATGATCTCATTCTGCTCGCCAGTTTCATCTGAGTTGTGCGTAGCATCTATTACAGCATCTGTGGTTTCTTGTTTTATCAAAGCATAGAATTTTCTCATCTGCTGTGGATTGTGAGCCTGCATCTTTATGCTTCTTGAAAAAAACCCATTGTCTGATATTTTCATTTCTTTCCCATTTGCTTGTAACGAAACCCGTTTATTCTTTAGTGAAATTGGGAAAACCTTTTCAATTATTGGTAGAACGTTTATGTTACTGAGCAGGTAACAGTTTATCTCTTCTATTTCTGGCTCATTGAAGGCTAAAAGCGCTTTCTTCAAAAAAGTTAAAGGGCAGCTGCCATTTCCTACAAATAAATCATTGGATATCTGATTAATTATTGATTGTATTGAAAATGCATGGAAGTAGTTTGTGCTTGTGCAGACGATGAACATCATGTGGACAGAAGACAGCTGCGGCACCATAAACAAACCACATCCACGAACTGTAAGGATTGTTGTAGGGGCACCTCCTAGTGCCTGTGCATATATTTGATTGAATTTGGTTCTCTCTGTTTCTGTCAGTGCTTTTATATTATATTTTGTAGCACAGGGCTCTTTTTTTGCTAGGGAAATACCTTCCTCCATTGCAACGTCTAAAGTAGGAAGTGTTGGTGGAACAAATTGGTGTCCGTGCTCGGATACATCATTTAGTAGAATGTTTAAGTGGCCCTGCGCACTCGTCATATACTCACGAAGTGTTTTATAATATGTCTTAATTAAAGAGTTGTATACCGAAATTGTAGAATGCTTTTCAGCTTTGTTAAGGGACTCTCCTTCGCTATCTGCCCGTACATACTCAAGTATACTTTTTTTTAGTTCTAAGTCTGCCTTCCAAACATCCAGCTTTCCCGAGACAGAAGACTCTTTTCTTTTTTTAACTAACCTTTGCACATTTGCAATGTGTGCTTGTATCTTCTCCTTTTGCACCTTTTCACTGTTTCTAATATTTGAAATGTGGTTTTCTGCCACTATAATTGCTCTGTCTAAGTCTTGGGAAACTATCTTGGATATGTTATGAATGCTTTGTAGTGTCATTCCCTGCACATCGCAGTGCTTCAACAAGGATATAATCAACGCATCCGCTCTCCACTCTCTATTTCTAGGATGGGAGGCAGCTTCTGTGAATTTTTTTAAAGATGCTGCATGTGCCTCCCCTGCCTGCTTGTAAACAAAAGATGCCCACTGCGCCTTTTCTATAAGTATGTGCAAGCTGCTTAGCTCATCCATGAAAAACAAACAGTGAAATTAATTAAATCCTACTTGCTAATTAAGAAGCAATAAGTATCTTGCTGCACACAACTAATAGATATACAGTGTATACACACATCCTAAAATATTTATAAATAAACTAAAAGCCTCTATTAAGAAAAGAGTGCATTGCTACTAATTACACCTAGCATATAATTAATATAAAGTTTATAATAGAATCATTCTTATTAGTAGAACGCGCTAATAAATGTGCTAGCTGATGTAGAACTGTGTACAAAGTAAATGTAAGATAACATGCTGTTAATCGGTATATGAATTATGTTTCAAATCTTTCTTTATGTGAGGTTTTGAATTAATAGCAGTAACTGACTGTTTCATAGTGTTTGTGTTTAAATATCTTAGCAGAAACTAGTAAGTACATAACCAGTAGATGATTGATATGTCTTGTAATATATTTTAATGATTCTACTGCGTATGGCCAGATTGAATTATAAATTTGTATTTTGTAATTTTGGCGGTATACTAAATATGTTTAATACAGAGAGAGAGCATATTCCGCTGGAAATGCTTGAGAAATACGCTGCAGAAGAGTTAGATGCAGAAAACAATACAGGATTTTTGGAGATATGCAGGATTTTTGGAGTATCCACAAAAACCGCATGTTCTTCAGATGTAGAGTTTGCGGAGCTATTTATGTCTCTTCAAACCATATTTCAGGCATCTAATATTAGTCTGCCATACGATTTTGCAGCTCTTCTAGCAGAGTGTAAGGAAGAAAAAGAGTCAGATGACTCAGCAGCTGAATTGACACACCAGAATGATTTAGCCGAGTTATACATACGAAAATTGCAGTTAAATGAGCTACTTAAAGAAAAATCTGTGTTAGAAGACAAATTGAAAGGCATAGAAGAGTTGCAGACATATTCAGAAGTATCCCGCGAGGCTCTTCAAATAGCAAAAACTCTAAACATAAGCACATCTCATCAGAAAGAAGGGAAAAGAGTTTTATGCAAGCAAGACTGTAATATTGACTTCCACAACTTTTTTATGCCGTTTGTCAACTTGTCAATTGAAACAGTAAACTTTATATATGGGCAGATAGAGATATCAGGCAATGGAAATGGAAAAGAGTGGGCAGTATCTCTATTAATGCAATACCACCAAAAGAAATTAGAAATGAAAGCGGCATATCTTCGGTACAAGACTCCAGAGCATATGTTAGACTATTTAATAACAGTACTTTTAATGGAAAAGCCACTGGCAACAATATTTGACATATGTAAAATACTAAAAAGAGAAAGAAAGTGTGTTATAAAAAGTGTCTTTTTCTTATGTTCAAAGAAAATTCTGCAGTATAATAGAACAATGGATGCAGCCAGGCTATACAATACATTATAAACAATTTTGTGAATAAGAAATAAATCTATACTATAATTAGGCTACTATGCATAACAACAAAATGCTTTGAATTTTAGATTAATAATAAACAATAGCTATACAAGAAATACAGCGAAAACATAGATTTAACTATTAAATATAACCCGAAATTCACCTGGAGCGATACAATCTAGAAATTATTGTGTATAATATTATTTAGAATATTTATTAATCTATGTTTTAAATTCGTATAGAAATACTATATATAGTGTGTATATTTATATTTCAAAATTTCCTAGTGATTCACCCAATCTTACTGGCCCTTCTACTTTATTTGCGACAAATCCTTCTTTAGGACACTCAAAAACAATTACAACAGTTGATCCTAGATTAAATAGCCCTATTTCTTCTCCTTTTTTATAAACACGGCTCCCCGAAAATACAGAATATGTGGTTGTAAATAGACCAGACATGCGGTTGGTTTTAAATTCAGCTATATTGCTGGAAATACTCCCTACACCCACACTCCCCACAGCAACCATGGCACAATACCCATGCATATACTGCCCTGAAAAAACAACTCTTTCATTCTTTGCAAGTAGTCCAGGGAAATACTTCATTGTTAGTTCTCCCACTGAGAAGAGTAAAGAGGGCAAGTGTAATACGTCTGTAATAGTAAAATCTGTAAAACTATGGAATCTGTGATAATTATGTGGTGCTAGATATATAACAGCCTGTTTCAATGTGTTGTTCTTATCTATTCTTCTCCAAATGCTTGGATCTCCTAATAGGTCCTCTATTTTGTATTTGGCCCCTTTTATCTTATAATTGGCACTATCCTTTGCATCTCCCATGCATATAATAGTCCCATCTACAGGTGATATTATTCCTTTTTGAATTGGTCTAATCCCCCTTTTTAATTTCCGGGTAAATAAGTCATTAACACTAGAATATTCAGATAATTTTTGTCTTTCTGCATCTTCTAGTGATATCCTGCATACTCCTTTGAATATCGCCAATACTGCTACATTCCCCGGCCATGGAAGGTATATTTTGCACATCCATCCTTGCACCCGGCTATATGTGCGTAGGGGAAGTGTTCTGATGATAGAATACTTTATTGTTGTCTCGCCTTGAATGAATTTATCATATAGCACATTGATAAAAACAATAAAAATCGAAAAGTACGCCATATATATTACTGTTTTTTTAAAGAATCTTTTGCTTTGGTACTTGCTATATCTAGGCCGCCATGCTGTAAATACTTCATTTAACTGGCTCATGTGGGGGTATTAAATTTTTAGAAGAATGCATAAAAATTCATTTATTTACAAAAATAAAATGCGATTGGACGTAGCTGTAATAGGCGGAGGTAGCTGGGGAAGCACTATATCTAAAGTGATAGGTGAAAATTATGCGAATAAAGGAATAGAAGGAAAAGTGACAATGTGGTTATATCCAGAGACATACAACTCAGTGGATTTAGCAGAGCTAATAACAACAACCAGAATAAATTCAAAATATTTGCCTGGTATAGAACTACCCAAAAACATTACCGTGACTTCTGACATATGTTCAGCAGTGGATGGGGCAGATGTGCTGGTTGTAGCAGTGCCGCATGAATTTTTGAATAAAATACTGCAGCAGATAAAAAATAAAGTAAAGTCTGATGCTGTTGCAGTTATACTAACAAAAGGTCTGTTTTTTAATGGCGGAGAGATGGAACTTATCTCTTCAACAATCAAGAAGACGTTAAACATACGCGCCTGTACTTTAATGGGAGCAAACATAGCAGGCGATGTTGCAAATTCTCTTTTTAGTGAGTGCACATTGGGGTATGAGAATGAAGAAATCAAAGACACTTTGCTGAATTTATTTGATTGTAAATACTTTAAGGTAACTCCAGTTAAAGACTCTGGTGCAGTTGAAGTGTGTGGTACACTGAAGAATGTAGTAGCCGTAGCATGCGGTATTGTATCTGGGCATAAAGAAGGTGCCAATACACTTGCAGCAGTCATTCGAAATGGTCTTTTAGAAATAGTTAAATTCTGTGACATGTTTGTTCAAAAAAGTAGTACTTCTGAAATGATCCCACGTGTTTTCTTTGAATCATGTGGTGTTGCCGACTTAATTGTCACGTGCACCTCTGGAAGAAATTTCAAATACTCTCGGATGGCGGCCGAAAAAAACATTGATATTTCTAGAATAGAAGAAGAAGAAATGAATGGCCAGAAACTACAAGGATACAGCACAATTAAAGACCTTAAGGTGTTTATAGAAGAGAATAAAATAGAGAAAGAATATCCTTTCTTGTACGCTATATGCCTTTCCGCGTCTTCAGATCTTTCTTCCAAGAGAATTCTAGAAGTTATCCAGAATCGCACTGAATAAATCTAAACATTCATTGTATAATACACTATATTCATAAATTTATAAGCAGTCCAAATTAACGAATACTTTATTCCTAAAAGATAAATGTCTTAATTTTTGCATATCCCTAGATTTATTGTGATAAGACCCCGTGATGGTGGTTTGATTAGATTTTAGTTGATGTGTGATATAACCCGAATGATTTGATAAATGAAATGCTCTGAGATATAGTCTAAGTCTAGAAATACCTCAAATTTATAATATATAAACATATAATAGTATAAATTTAACTATTCCAGAAGATGTGTATATAAATAATAGTATACTAAACTATTTATAGTAGAAATTTATTTGTGCATGATCTTATACCGCTAGAATAAAATTTATAAATTTAAATATTCTGCTGGTGCTTAGCCCATTCTATTCTAAACATATATTAATATTTAGAATATATTAGAAACTATTAATTAAGAATCGTAGACTGTAAAAAAGACCAGAAATAACCTTAATATTTTGTTTGTTTGGCCCAATTCATGACTAATAAGATATACATTCCATTTTTTACAATAGTCACTACGTACTTATCGTATTTTATAGTGATTGTATTGGGGCATGCGCGAGACTTTATTGGGCAGATGCTATTCCCCAAGCTATACAAGCACATGTTTCCCAGCAATGGAAGGCTTCCTCTCTTTACAACTTCTGGAAGCTTTTACACACGGCGTCTTTACGGCAGACTGAACGATTGTTGGAATAGGCCAATTACAGGGATTCCTGGGCGAAATGTAAAGGTGCTCCTGCGCACTCGGGATAGAGATGGAGAAATGAAACTAGCAGGTGAGTCAAAAATGTGCTTAAATTTAGGATCGTATAACTATCTGGGGTATGCAGGAATGTATAATGAAGAGGCAAAAAAGGCATTGCTAAAGTACCCTGTTGCATATTGTGGGCCTGTCAAGTTTCTTCCGCCGTGCCCTTTAGTTAAGCAGCTAGAGAAGGAAATAGCAGCTTTTTTGTACAAAGAAGATGCAATTGTCTTCCCTATGGGATTTGCAACAAATGCATGCACTATTCCGTATTTAGTAAACAAAGGTGATTTGATCATAGCAGACTCTCTTAACCACTCGAGTATATTCTTTGGTACGCGTATTAGTCCATGCAAGGTAGAAAGATTCGGGCACAATGACATAAATATGCTCGAAAAGATTATTAGAAAAGCAATAATTGAAGGGCAGGACAGAACGCACCGGCCTATAGGAAGGATTCTTGTGATTGTAGAGGGAATATATTCTATGGAAGGCGAGTGTGTAAAGCTAAAGGAAATTCTTGCACTAAAAGAAAAGTATCCTTTCTATCTGTTCATAGACGAGGCACACTCTATTGGTGCAATGGGTAAAACCGGCCGTGGCGTATGCGAGTATTTAGATGTGGACTTTAATAAGATTGACCTTCTTATGGGAACATTTACAAAAAGCTTTGGTGCAGCAGGTGGATACATTGCAGCAAATAAAAATATCATAAACTTGCTTAGGAAGAGATCCGAATTAATAAATAGAGGAGAGCAAATGCCTCCTGTGGTGGCCACACAAATACTTGAGTGCTTGAAAAGAATGCAAACAAAAGAGGGAAAGCGAGAAATACAGAAGCTTGCAGATAAATCTAGGTACTTTAGAAAAGAACTGCACCGCATGGGGTTTATTGTTATCGGAGAGAAAGACTGCCCGGTTGTGCCTTTAATGTTGTATAACCCAGGGAAGATAGCCGAATTTTCTAGAATGTGTCTGAAAGAGAATATTGCGGTTGTTGTTGTTGGGTATCCTGCTACACCAGTTATAAGCAGTCGTGTGCGATTTTGTCTCTCAGTTGCACATACAAAAGAAGATTTAAACCGAGCTCTTTTTGTAATTGATAGGATAGGCGACTTGCTAGGCTTAAAAATGGCTAGGTCTAAAGCATCATAGTCCAAGTGCTGTAGACTGTGCTATATAATTCTTCAGTTATAATTTGTATATGATGATAAGTGTGGTCTTAAATAGGCTAATAATGTATATTAGTATGCACAAGATGCCAAATCTATACAGTGTGTTAATAGTGCATTAGTTAAATCTATATGTCTATGAATTGTATAGAATTTAATAAATGACCAGTTTTAGAAACAAAGTAAACCTTCCTTTAAGTAGAAATATAGTTGAGTTTATCTGGGTTGCCATGGTTTATAGCGAGGAATAGCCGTGCTTCTGTGTTTAGTTTAGGGTTTTTCTTGCCCTTAATCTATTTCTTATAAATAAAAGTGTTCAGTTTAAATTAAATTAGAGAATACTTTTATTTTTTTAGATTATACTTAAAATGAAATTAATTTCAATATTATAAAAATACAATACGTAATGTATATTAGACTCATGTTATAAATACCCACAAAACATAAAATACGCAGTATAGCATATAACTTTATATGACGTATAGCATAACACACAACACGTCCAGGTTATATCGGGCTGGTTTATATTAGAATATATTATATACTATACACTGTATGATATAAATATAACAGTAAATATAATTAAAATGGGAGCAAAGCATTTCTACTGATCTGCTACAGTTAATTCGGGTTATATAAAGAAGACTATGCACAATAAAATTTTTTAGAATGGTACTCCCAATAGAAGAGAGAAAGTCTGAAATACAGGATTTAATCCAGAACAACCAAGTATTAGTCTTATCCAGTGAGACTGGTACAGGTAAAACAACACAAGTACCCAAGTACATATACGAAATGTATAACAAACCAGTTGTATGTTCACAGCCCAGAAGAATTGCTGCTATAAGCATAGCTAAACGGGTTTCAGAAGAAATGCATGCAACACTGGGCAAGCTAGTTGGGTATTCTGTAAGATTTGAGGAGTGCAAATCAGACTCAACAATGATAAAGTATGTAACCGATGGTACCCTTATTAGAGATTTCATTAATGATCCAAGTATATCGCAGTATAAAGCAATAGTAATTGATGAAGTGCACGAAAGAACAATAAACATAGACCTACTCCTAGGTCTAGTGAAAGATGCAATTGCACTAAGAGACGACTTAAAAGTAATTATAATGAGTGCTACACTATGCACAAACAAATTTACAGAATATTTTCCCGGGGCAGTGACTCTTCACATTACCAGCCGATCTTATCCAATAGATGTAAAGTACTTACCGGTTGAAAAGGATAATTATGCAGAAAAAACTGTAGATGTTGCCATACAAATAAGTGAAAATGAACCAGAGGGAGACATTTTAGTATTCTTAACTGGAGAGGATGAAATAGAAAACTGCTGCAGGGAGGTAATGTACAGGCAGAGACAGCTCAAAAACAAACTGGTTCCTCTTCCATTGTATTCGTCTTTGCCTATGCATGCACAGAATGCGATATTCGAAAAAACAAATGGGCGCAAGGTTATATTTGCCACTAACATAGCAGAGACATCTATAACAATAGAGAGTGTTGTATATGTTATAGACTCTGGTTATTCCAAACAGAAAATATACGACTCTACTATGCAATCAGAAATGTTATTGAAGTTACTTATATCCAAATCAAGTGCAGACCAGAGAAAAGGGCGTGCTGGTAGAGTGCGGCCTGGAATATGTTACAGACTGTATGATGAAGAGACATATAACAAAATGGAATTGTTCACTATACCAGAAATATTAAGAGGAGAGCTGTCTTCTTTGGTTCTAAAAATGGCCAGGCTAGAGATAAAGAATCTGGTTACATTTGATTTTATTGAGCCACCATTGCCAGAGTCTGTTATTGTGGCATTGAATCAGCTATACTTTTTAGGTGCCATAGATAAAAGCGGAAATATAACAGAGGAAGGGCGGCTTTTAGTAGAATTCCCCCTTGAGCCAAAAGATGCCAAAACTCTTTTAGAGTCTGTAAGATATGGCGTGGAAGATGAGATAATTACACTTGCATCGATATCTGGGAATCTGATTTTTGACAGAAAGAAGTTCGACCTTGCTATAGATCATAGTGACCACTTATCATTATATCTTATACTTAAAGACTATGAGAATATGGCAGAAAAGAGAAGATTCTGTTATGCGCACGGGTTAAACGAAAAGAATTTAGAAAATACACTTAAGTCTAAGAAGCAGATAAAGAAGATTTTAGAAACACTAAAGCCCAAGATACAAAAATATCCTAACATAGATGAATTTAGTGTACAAGAGAGAGTAGAAATGTCGATTCTAGGAGGATATTTACTGCAGACTTCATATTCTTTAAAGGAAAGAGTTGCGAATGTAGCTGGGACTGGCACAAGAGTACAGGTAAGAAGACTAACCCCACCAGTTAAAATGGGAAGAGGCAGGGGGTTCAATACCTCCATCGCGCCCAAATGGATAGTTTACAAAGAGCTTACAAAAATGGACGGAAAGTATGTTATACGTATGGTAAGTGATATAAGCAAGGGAATAGCAGAAAGACTATTCAAGCAGTATACAGCCCGCCTTGAAGAAATACAATTTACACCAGACACAGCTATTGAAGCAAGTAGAAGAAGATAAATTACTATTCACACAAATCCTGCAATAATTCGAAAATAAATATTAATTAGACAATCCTTCAATAAGATACAATACAGAATGTATAATTACATAATCATAAATTATTCACAGTACGTATAGCCGCCACTGTAATAAATTAAACCAAAGATAAAGTATAGCCAGGAGCCACCAGAAATGAATTATTTTTAACAATTAATCATTCAACAGGCCCGAAAACATCCTCAAAGCACTTAATCAAGTCAGCCATTAAAAACATATTGCAGATATTTAAATTTAAATTCTGTGCACTGGCGATGTACTCCAAGATTCTTAGAAATAGCGAATATTTTCATTCTAGTACAGGATTTATTCATTATACGAATATTATAAAGATAAAATCAATAGCCGAAGATGTGTTTGACTTTTCTTGTTAATATCTTTATTGATGCAGTGGCATACCATAAACCCAAAAATTATTCTTCTGTATTTGTAGGTGCAGTAACGAAATCTACTATTCCATTGGTTAATGGATAGTGTCTCTGGCACTGTGCACAGACCAGTGCACCATCATTAACTTCTGTGCAGAATAGGACAGTGAATAAATCAGATATTCTTGTCTGATCGAGTGCAGATTGAATTGAGTTTTCATCCAGAATGCGCTGAAGTTCCTCTGCCGTGTAGAATAAAGATTCTTCTGATAATCCGTTAATGGTGTTATTTTGTTTTACTCCATTAAGAATTATTGGCAGAATAAATTCACTCGTTGCTAGGTCCATTGAGCATATTGTGTCTATTTGTGCTTGCATAAATTCTATTTCCTCTGGGACCATTTGTCTTTCTGTTCTGGTCACTGTGCACCCATTTGGAATTAAATATCCAGAATAGCCGCACACTTTATTCTTGCACTGCAGTAATAAAATTGAAAATATTTTCATGCACTGGAAATCCAAAGGCTATTTAAAATGGAAGACTTTGAAAGAAAACACGTACACAAATTCTATGAAGAGTCCTCAGAAGAATTTTCTGCAACACGATACAAGCCCTGGCCTAAAATAGAGTATTTTTATAGCAAGTATGTAAGAAAAACAGATCTGGTATTGGATGCAGGCTCAGGCAATGGGCGGAACACGTTTTTCCCCGACCGAACGCTATCACTGGATTATTCTTCTGGGCTATTGGGAATAGCTCAAAGAAAACATGGTGGGATGGGGTATATAAGAGGAGATTTAGGAGAGGATTTGCCTTTTAAACAGAACACATTTGATATTTGCATATCCATTGCTGTTATACACCATCTTTCAAGTGAAGAAAGAAGAAAAACCGCGGTCAAGTCTATGGTGGATATGTTAAAAATCGGTGGACATGCACTGATTTATGTGTGGAGTGAGTCACCAGAGAGTAAAGCATCAAAATTCATAAGTATTCCAAACTTAGAAGATGCAAGCTTAGATAAAATAGACAACTTATCAGCAAATGATGTTTTTGTTGGGTGGAAGAGTGCAAATAAATTAAACAGATACTATCACTTATTCAAAACAAACGAGCTAGAAAGTATTCTAAAGGATCTTCCTGTAAATATAATTGAGTCAGGAAAAGACCACGGAAATTACTATGCAATAATTAAAAAGGTGTAATTATACTGCAGTATACGCATTATCTATATAATTACCAAATAGAATAAATAGAATCAGAAATACCCCCGAAATTTACCATCCCTTTATTCCCTAGAGCTCTACAGTGCAACTAAACACTAATTAAATAGATTGAGTTCATAATTTTTTATGAACATAGAAACCATAAGCAAAGAAAAAGAGAGAAGCATTGAACAAATTCTTACACCAAATAAGAGCAATAGCATAATTGGCGCCAAAGACAATCCCAATGTAAATGAAAATATAGACCAAGAAGATTCTTCATCAGGATATTTTACCTATCCAAATAGCAAGCCATACTGCCGTGGTAGAATACACCAAGTAGCATTTTATCTTACAATAATTATGTATATTGTGTTAATGTGCACTCTTCGTATAAATAAAATATACTTATCGTTATACTTTGCCTCACAGGTACTGTTGTACGGCATAAGTGGTACGTATCATACAAAGAAATGGAAAACAAGAGAATCAGAAAAACTATTTCAAAAATTAGACCATTCATCTATATTCCTTTTAATTGCAGGTACACAGACTTGTGTAATAGCAGCAATCAACGAAGTAAACATAGGAGGCACATCTAATATTCTGTTATATCTACCAATATCGTATATATTGGCTATTTTAGGCATGTTAAAGGTATTTTTTATACAGAATATACCAAAATCAGTTAATGTGTCGTATTATATAGTACACGGTGCTTCTGTTATAATATTTGTGCCCATAGAATATGTAAAGAAAGAATTACCGCTATTTGTGTTCAGCATATTCGGAGGTGTATCATATATAATTGGTGGCATAATATACGGAACAAAAAAACCAGACCCATGGCCTAAGACCTTTGGGTTTCATGAGATATTCCATACACTAACGGTTATTGGCAATACATTCTTTATGCTAACTATTGTATGGGCTGATTATAAGGCTGGTCGTATGATCGGGTGAATTTATTCAAAATGTGTGGTATACTTGGGTATATCCAGTAATAAATATGCTGTTCCCTCTGCAGATACTTTTGTATGCATTAATCCTACTGTGCGTGGATGAGTTAGAATATCGGCTATTTTTATAGATGATGTTGTGAATATGGATATTTTCTGTGTGATAAAGTCAATAGGAAATGATTTCTTAGAGGATGTAATAGCAAGTGTGAATATCGCATGTACTGCTTTAATTATTTCCCTTTCCTTTTCTTCTTCCATCTGTATGAATTTATTTCTTCTTTCTGCCTCTCTCTGTTTAATTCTCTCTAATATAGACAGCCCTTTATTTAGACCCGGAGAAGGCTTAGTGCACTCTGTGGTATTTATAATGGGAGCGTTTGGTTTATCTGGGGACTGTTTAGTTAGTTCATTAGATTCTTCCGGTTCAATTCTGTATAATGGGTCTGTGTTTTTAGTATTTATATTACATAATGGACTTTTCTTTTTAAGCGTGGTTTTATCTGTTGTATTTTCTAAACTAATAGCACTCTCGCATTCTTTTACTTTTTTTGTAGTTCTGTCACATTTTAGTTTGTTCTTGGTACTACTAGAATTATCATCTGGTTTTATTATATCCATGCGAATGTCTGGCCAGTCGGTCTCTGGGCATAAACTTGGTAAAGATGCAGTGTGTTTGTTATCCAATACTGCACTCTTTTTAAAATTGAGGTCTTCGCTGATTAGTTCATCAATTGTACGGATTGTTTCTGAATTTGTTTCTTTAACATTTATTTTAGCATATTTTGTACGCACCCAGTCAATTGCTTTCTTTTCACAGTGCATGAGTCTATTTTCTATGCTCACTATGTCTATAATTATAACCGATTCATTTTTAAATCTGCTCTGTGTATACGTGTATATGTCACCAAATATGAGCTTGATTTGTCTATAATGAATTTCGTGTATTTTATCCTTGCAGAGATGGGAGACTGTTCTGGATACGTCCTGCAAGGTATTAGTCAATGTTTTTGTTGAATTAAATGAAATAACAGAGTCAGTTAATGTGATTATTCTAAGCAAAAAAGAAATGCAATCAGGCAGCCTAATGTCATTAGTGGCACGTGTAAGATGCCGCCACCTCAGATATCCAGGTAGATTTGTGTTATGGAGTGAATCCGGTGTCTTTTTGTCTGGGATATCCTTCATAATTCTGTGTAAATTTTTTCATGGAAATACGTACATCCGAATTTGAGCAGCTTGGTTTATCAGAGAATATTCTTATGGGAATATTTGCGTATGGGTTCAGCACCCCATCAAAAATACAGAAAGATGCAATTGGTGTAATTTCTGGGGGAAAGAGTGTTTTAATGCAGTCAAAAAATGGAACGGGAAAAACTGCCACTTTTCTGCTGGGAATGCTCCAGAAGCTAACCATTCACAAAAACACACCGTATATACAGTCTATTGTACTATCACCAACCCGTGACTTAGCCATACAAACATTTAATGTGTTTAACGGCCTTGCTAAGTATATGGGAATAAAGGGATACTGTGCAGTTGGGCAGACTAAAAAAGTATCAGAAGATGTTCATGCATTAAATGGGTGTACAGTGTTATTTGGTACTCCAGGAAGAGTTCTTCACTTATTAAAAGAATCAATCAAGACGTTTAATAAAGTGCACATGGTGGTTTTAGATGAAGCAGATCGTGTGGTAGAGAGTGGATTTAGTCTGCCAGTCAGAGGAATATTTGAGAGGATTAAACCAATGAACGCACAGTTTGTATTTGTAAGTGCAACACTGCCGCAAGCAATAACTGAATTTCTCACTGAGTACCTCCCAGAAGATTATGAGTCCTTTTTAGTACCACAAGAAGAACTTGCACTTTCAAGAATTTCGCAGTTTTACATTAATGTAGTGGAGAAAAAGAAGTTTAACAGACTGTGTGATATTTTCAGCACGGTTTCAATTTCCCAGGCAGTTATTTTTGCAAACAGAAAGGAAACAGTAATGGAATTAGGTAAAAAACTGCAAATGCATGAATTTCCTGCTGTTATAGTGCACGGTGGAATAGAGCAAGCAGAAAGAAACAAAAGAATGTCAGAATTCTTTAGTGGTAAGCATAGAATACTCGTGTGCACAGACGTATGCGCAAGAGGAATAGATGCAGTGCATGTTAATTTAGTAGTTAATTATGATGCTCCACTCTCACCAGAGGAGTATTTACACAGAATCGGCAGAGGTGGTAGATTTGGAAAAACATCGATTGCTATAAGTCTTCTGGAGCCAAGTGAGTGCAGTAAAAGCCAAGCCATATTCAGTGCATTTGGGAAGGCACTAAAAGAATTTGTTATTCCTGAGCCTTCTTAATAAGAATATTTGCATATTTACAACCCGATTTAACCCGAAATACAAAAAAATGAATTAACTTTAAGTATAAAAATTAAATCGTATATATTCTATTACAGAATACGCTTTTATTTGCAATAAACAGGAATTTTTATAGAAATAAAGTATAAATAGATTTAATATACAGAAATTGGAATATATTGGGGATATTTTGCTTTATTATGAAAAGCAGAGCACGCCCGAAATAGAAAACCAGTTAAAATATTCTGAAAGAATGAAACCCCAGAAATAAACGTAAATAAAGACTATTTTAGGTATATATGAAATATTTATACTTTGGCATTAAAACACCATGAAAATAACAGATATTTGGGAGCTATTTCCAATTAGTCTATATGTTTATGGAGTATAAAGATTAGTGCGATTTTCATGGTGTTACAGTGAACTTCTAACACATTAGATGTGTTACAGTGTATACATCTGTGCGTATTCTTAAGAAAGTGCTTATTTGGTATTCAAACAACGTATTATGTCAGATTCTTTGAAACATAGTTACACACAGTGTATATAATAGAACAAATAGACATATAACATGACTATGGGTTTAACTGGAATACCATACGAAGAAATGCTAAACAACTTTATTTTTAAATGCACAGTGCGCATTGCTCTGCTGAACCAAGAAATACAAGAACAGAGGGCTCTTCAAACCGGCAGAGAAGAGAAATACAATGACTTGTGCCAAGCAGTACTACTTCACGCAGATGAGACTAGAAGAATAGTTCAGTATATTAATGCGCTGGACATACCACATAGTGAAAAGGTTTCTCTTTTAGAATATGCCAAGGTGGCTACTTTAGAGAGTGCTTTTTACAACATGGGACATGCACTAATTGAGATGAAGGGATTGCAGGCTATCTCTCAGATAAACACATGCTTTATTCGAAGGACAAGAAAGTTTTGGGTTGACCTAAATAACATAGACACCCTTTGCAGTATGATTATACCACACTTACCTGTATACATATTTGGAGATGATGGCAGTGCCAAAGTATCATCATACATATCAAGTGTGTATTTTGATACGAACAACTTTAATCTGTATGATAGGAGAATTAAGAGGGATCAAGGCGCAAAATCATTACGTATTCGCAGTTATGGCGAGTCATCTATTATTTCTTATGTAGAGCTAAAAACTCATGAAGATGGATGGACTGGAGAAAGAAGTACAAAAAAACGGTTTCTTGTGCACACTAGACTAATTCCACAACTGGCAGAGGGAGTTGATATATGGGACGAAATTAAAACCATAAATGTAGCAGAGCCAGCGGAAGCATTCACTTTATATCAAGAGGTTCTCGACCTAATCAGAAGGCTTTCCCTAAAACCCGTTGTAAAAACAGTGTACAGGCGAACGGCCTTCCAGTTTCCAGAAGATGCATCAATTAGAATATCTCTAGATACACACCTTGCCATGTGGTGTGGTAATGTAGGAAAGCACTTTCCCTATGCTATTTTAGAGGTGAAGCTTGAAGAGGGAAATGAGCAGGACTGGATTCTTGAGCTAATGAACAGTGCGCTTGTAGTCCCTGTTGACAAATTCTCAAAGTACTTGCACGGCTGCTCTGTACACTATCCAAATGTTCCATCTATCCCGTACTGGTACAACCAGATAACTCTTCCGCAAGCTCAAAACATAGAAATTGCCCATGCGCCCATACAAAACATTAGACTATCTAAGATAAACAGAGAAATATCTGAATTATTAGATTATATCAACAAACAATCGCAATACAAAGATACAAACATACCAAGCGCAGAATTACCATCTGAGTCAGGGAGTGGTGTGTATGATAGCACGTCCAGCAGTGACTCATATTCTGAGAGGCAGCCACACGATGTTTTAAATATGTGTTCAGATAATACTGCTACAAACAACCCGCATGGACAGACTGAATTACACCAGAATTTATTACAAATGCGAAACATGCAACAAGTACAAACACAAAATACAAATGTAAACAGACAAACAATGAATGGAGAAGACAGAACAAAAGAGTTTTTCCAGCCAAGTGCTTTAAGACAAACCAATGGGCCAGCTGTTCCGGCAGTTCCTTCAGATAAGCCAGTAACCGTCCCCGTAAGAATTGAACCAAAAGTGTTTTTTGCAAATGAAAGAACATTTCTGTCTTGGCTGCACTTTGCAATTTTTATTGGAGGTGTGGGTGCAGCCTTAATGGGACTTGGGGATGTAAATGCTGCTTTGTCTGGAGTGTGCTTTATCGTGGTTTCCATTATATTTTCTGTCTACGCCTTATATCTGTATATTTGGAGGGCACAAAAAATAAATGAGAAAAACCCAGGGCCATACCATGACCACCATGGACCGATCATTCTTGTTGCAGTCTTTCTTTCTGCTATGGTTACATCGGTTTTCTTCAAGTTCCCTTTAAAGTAATTCTAAGATGCATAAATTATTTTTTCATTTTAACCCTAGCACATGACAAAAAAAAGAAGAAATAATGGAAGATCCAAAATGAACAGAGGTCACACTAGAAGCATTAGATGTGAGAACTGTTACAGAAGTTGCCCAAAGGACAAGGCAATAAAGAGATTCCACATCAAAAATGTAATAGACAATGCATCCTTCGATGATATTAAGCTGGCCTCTGTGTATGAAGACTTTGAAGTTCCAAAATTCTACTACAAACTAGAGTACTGCATTTCATGCGCAGTTCACCAAAGAATTGTCAGAGCTAGGTCCGTAGAGGGAAGAAAAGACAGAACAAACCCATTTATGAAGAGAAGAATGAATCTTTTAAATGCATCTGCATAATAAAGTAGTAGTTTATTTCGCTTATACCGTTTATTTTACTTGTTTTATTTTATGTTTATTATGCCCCAAGGCAGTGCTTTAGTAGAGTAAGAGACTTTCTCCATTCTAATACAGTGGAGGGATCTGAAGATGCCTCTAAAACCTCAATTACTCGTTCGATTGTTTTTACACTCCCTTCTGGGGTATGCTCTAGATTATTCTCGAGCACAAGTGCATGTGATAAGTATTCTTTATAATATGCTATAAACTGATTATTGTTCTGTCTAAAGAATAAGTCGCCCAGCAAACAAAGTGCTTTTACGCTTCCCTGGTCTGCACATTTTTTATAGCACCGAATGGCCTCTTCCTCCCTTCCAAGTTTATCAAAGCATTGCCCTAGTCCTTCATACACCGCAGATATACTTGGGGATAACTCTGCACATTTTCTGTAAAAGTGCAAAGAGTACTCGTGCATCTCAATTGAAAAATATATTTGTGCCATGCTCAGCCATACGCGGTAATCATTATAATTCTTCTTTATCGCAAGGTTGCACGCTTTAATCGCCGAGCAAGTATCTTTCAAATGGAAATACTCCTGTGCCACAAATATATACGCAATATCAAACTCCCCAATAAATTCATCCTGCAGTATTTTTTGAAATTCTTCTATGCTCCCTACATGGTCAGACTTTAATGCAAGTAAATTCCCAGATACATAATTATATATGGGTAAATTGCCAAACCTATCAAACACAGTAAACAATAAACTAGACAATTTTTCTGTGTCCTTTAATGAGTACAGAATATTTGAGAATTGATCAAAATTATACCAACCCACCGATGAGTCAACTACTTTTTCCATTACCTCCAACGATTTCTTTGTTTTTTTATAATGACCAAATACAGCAACAAGTAAAGATTCTTCATAAATAGAAAATTCTTCTGGATTTTTTTCATATTCTTCCATTATCCTTTTAAGCCTCGGAATTAAAATAGACTTTCTACACCCAATGTACAGAATAAATACTCTTTCCATCACAGGATCAGAAATATTTTTAAGAACACTATCACAGTCAGTGGCAGTAACACTATTACCAAGTAATTTGTAAATATCCCAGAAATAGGGCATAACCTTAAGTAGTACACAAAGTACTTTCTTATACTTATCTGATGATATATACTTCTTCTTAGTAAGAATCAGTAAATATATCAGAAATGGATCTGTGAATAATTCATTACTGATTATTACACCTTCATTACTTAGCTCTACTCTATCGAGTAATTTATCTACCTTGTCATCTTCATAATATATTCTGTCTATTTTAAACCCAGGCTCTCTCGTGTTCTTTATGCTGGTAAGGATGTATACAGAATAATTTCTTAAGAAAACTTGTGCACTCGTGCAGCAGGTGCAGTAATTATATTCTATCTTCATAGAAGTACATTCTGTACATCTGAGTATAGAATACACTTGGTAATATTCTTTCATTGCGAATAGATTCACTGCCCGAGACATTTTCCCTGGGGGAATTGTGTACGCCGATTCTACTGCTATATTTATCTTGAACAGAAATTCCAATGGGTCGTATAAGCACCGTATGAATAATTCTTTTGTGAATGCGTTGATTCCTTCTCTTACCTCTGTCATGCACTTATAATAATAATTTTATAATTAATTCAATGGAATTACTTTATTCTGTATAAGTAATAAACAATTTTATATTCGGGTTATATCGGGGTATATAACATAAATTATTACTGAGTATACGAATATTCAGCTATTATTTATAATATTATGTGTTATAAGTACTGTATATTTAATGCACTATATGTAAAATAAAGAATACTTTTTATGTTTATACCGGTAATTAATATAATATTATAATCATAGTGTGATAAGTAATAAATACAGAGTATTATTAAGATAATACTGTTAAGAATAATAAGGAATAATAATTTGTGCAGAATTAAATACACAAACAGTAAAAACAACTATTATATTATAGTCATAGTGTAATAAGTATTGAATACATACGCGTATATGTATATTAATTGTTATTAATTATTATGGTATGGTTATTATATTCTGATAATTTATAAGTAGACTCATAATAGTATACGCCATAACATATTTTATTTTAATTAAAAATTTAGGGTTATATCGGGTTATATGAGTGAAGTATCATCTGCATATATACCGCACAGACATATAAATAAAATGTGACAGAATGGTTGTTTATTCTTCTTCTATGGGAAGATTTAGTGTGTTGTACTCCTTGCATACTTCTTTATACAGAAGAGTGTTTATAATTTTGAGCTTCTCAACTACATCTGTTAATTTTAGATACTCATCATTCTTTTGTTTTATCTGATCTTCTAATATTTTGACTCTTTCCTGGACTGTCAGTACATCTTTCTTTGACGTACTCTTGGTGCTTGGGTGACTCTCCATCCTGGAAGTATTTCTCTCCTGTTCGTGCGGTGCCATGTTAATGTTTAGCTGTAAAATTTTACTTTCTTTCTTTAATTTTTAGCACCCTCCCAAACCCGACAGTTCTTGTTTCATCCCGGAGTGTGAATATCCCGGTCCTTTTGCTGGCATTGTACACCTCCAATGGAATCGGAATGTTCACAAATATCTCTGCAACGAGTTTGTCTCCTGTTTTTGCGAATTTAACTTTAAGTATTTTATCGCCTTCTTTTTTGTACAAATCCCCAATTGAAATGGGGACTTCCCTTGCCCCCATATGCATAACTGCCATATACCCCTTTGTAATTAGAGATTTGGCATCTAATATGCTTAGTGCTGCCATGAAATAGTTTGAGTCTACTGTTTCTGCGTACTCCAGGGCTGTTATTACATCGCCTGAGAATATTTCATCGGTTTCCTTTATTTTAATTCTGGCAGTTTCTCCTGAATGTACTCTTTCCACTTCCTCCTCATCAATTGTTATTGAAATTATGTTTATCTTTCTGGCGCCTGGGTACAGCTTTACTTGTGATTTATCAAGTACACCCCTTTCCACACGGACAGTTATAAAGTACCCGCCCATCTCCTTGGATGCATCTGATATAGAAGCGTACAGAGGATCAGAATTCCTCCTGGGGATGTCAATTGAATCGATGTACTCAAAGAAAGATGGACCAGTATACCACGGAGCCACTTCGGATAAGTTGTTCTCTTTTATGTTGTGCCCTAAGAACCCACTAATTGGCATGTAAACCACATCATTCTTCCCAAAAAGTGCGTGCAGAAGTTTCTTTGTTGACTTTATGATATGATTGTACCGATCCTCTGACCAGTTCACTGTGACATCGTCCATCTTATTTATTAGAACACATATCCTTGACAAACCAGATGCTTTCGCTAAATAAATATGCTCTCTAGTCTGCCCACCCTTCTCAAATCCGGCTTCAAACTCGTTCTGCCGTGCAGATATAACAAGTACTGCAATGTCTGCCTGATTCACTCCAAGTATCATATTTGGAACGTACATTTTATGCCCGGGTGCATCTAGTATCTGCACGGTAGTCTTATCCGTATCAAAATATGCCTGGCCTAGCTCAGTTGTCTTTCCTTTATCCCGCTCCTCAGGATTACTGTCAAGTGCCCAGGATAGATACCAACTCTCCCGATTCTTCTCTTTTGATTCTTTTTCATACTTCTCCAGTGTTCTTTTATCAATCTTACCTGCAAGGTATAATATCTGCCCACCCGTAGTGGATTTCCCTGCATCCACATGCCCTATAAATATCATGCTTAATTGCTTCTTTTTAATTGATATATTCTTAATAGACTCCGTCAGTCCGTCCATGCACTAAAATATTCTAAAAATTTATTTCCGTTTATAATGCATGGCTTAATAAAAATGAAATGTAAATTTAAGAGCCGTACAGGCATACCAAATAATACAGTACACCAACCGGAAATAACCTAAATTTAATACAGTTACGTACTAATAATGCATTAAAACCAGAATATAATGCCATAACGTACAATTATTAATCAGAAAATAATCATAAATCCAGTATAATATGGACATAACCCGAAATCACACTGATTGTGCTTGAATAAACATTGCGCATGCGGTGCATGTGATAATAGTACGGACATTCTCTGCCAGGATATTATAATTCATGTTTTAATTATTCTGCTGTATGAATATTAAGTAATTATGGTTTAGACATACTGCATGTATATATTATATTTAGAGTGTGTTTTGTGTTTTATTTCTTTATTTCAACAGGTTTAGTGCAGTGACTCTTTCCCCGTTTCTTCTATTTATAAGAACGTCTCTATATATCTTGTGGTTTATATTAGTACTATTTGAAATGTACTCAGAAATTGGCATGCTTTTAGGCTGAATGTACGTGTCTGTGTGAGTCTCCTCTTGCTTGGGATATTTTCTTGTTTTTATTCTTTTACGCTTCTTTTCTGTCTCTACAATCTGAAATGCTTCATTTCTTACCTCCTGCACTTCCATTTTCTGCAAATTTTTGCATTTCTTGTGTTCGTTATAATATGCCAGTAAATAGATGTTTATAATGTGCTTGGCTGGTTTTTCATTTCACTGCACAACCCGTTAAGAAATTATTATTTTATGGCAGTGGGTGTGTCTAACCATCTGTGAGCTTCAGCACTTTTCTTTTTAAGCAGTACGCAGCTGCTGTTATCAAAACAACATACATGACAAACAGAACGGCCATGGATGCGTATATAGATACAAATCCATCCACTAACCCTTGAATCCTTGGTGTGAGTGACTCCACTCCTCTGTAGTGCAGCTTTATCATAATATTATATGCATGCCTAGGCGGGGATATATACTGTAGATACGCCAGCACACCTATAATTGATTCTGGGTCTATATCTGTTCCTGTAAGCATATTTATAAAGTACGACATTGCTGGGAATATAGCAAGAGCAATCTCAGACGTATCAACTAAAGATGCAACAAGCACTCCAAGCGAGTGCCCTGCGGCTCCAAGTAATAAACATCCCAGTAAATGCGCAACAGACCCAATCCCAGACAGATAAAATATAATTGGAGTGCCTACAAACGGATGCATGCACGTAATGGCGAAGTCCACCACTATTTTTGATATAAAATACGGAAGGAATGTATAATAGTTAGAGCCGTACTCCTTGACAAGAATTTTCCTATCTGAGAACAGAATAGAGATGGCACCATATGAAAATGACCCAAAAGTAGCCATTGTGATGGTTCTATAACACCCTATCACATTGGTCTCTATTTGGTGTGGCTTCTTGCTAGGTATATTATACATAAACATTCCTGTTATAAAAGATACAAAAAGAGCATGCCCCATTTTTGCAAAGAGGTACTTCTTGTTTCGTAAACTGCACAGAATAGTGCGAGACAGAAGTACTTTACTCTGATATAAAAAGGCACTAATAGTGAATTTGTTATTCAGCTGATTCAGTGAATTGCTGGTGTCTGCGTATGGTGAGTCTGGTGTTCCCTGTGCCTGCAGCTCTTCTTGCTTCTCAGGTAATTGACAAAGTATTCTAAAAAGATGATCTGCGGGGTTTGTGTATTTGGGGCAGGGCATGCCCAGTGCAGCAAGTGACCGTACACATCCACTGGGTGACCCAGAGTATGCAATTTGCCCCTTCTTCATCATAATCACATTGTCAAACATATGGAAAATATCTGATGATGGCTGGTGAATTGTCATTACAATGAGTATTCCTGTTCTAGCAAGATTTTTAAGATGAACAATCAATGCCTCTGATGTGTATGAGTCCAACCCACTGGTTGGTTCGTCTAAAAAGATTATATCTGGCTTAGACACTAACTCCTGTGCTACTGAAAGTCTTTTTCTTTCTCCTCCTGAAAGACCGGCCACACCCTCTATTGGATCTCCTATCTTTGTGTCTGCTGCATGTGCCATCCCCACTTCAGCTAATAACTTGTCTGCTAGCTCACTAGGATTGGGCTCCTCTGGGGCCTTCAGCCTAATTGTGTAACAAAGCATCTCTTTTGCTGTAAGTACAGGATATAAATGGTCTTCCTGATGTACATAAGCAACCCTCTTCCTAAGCTCTTTCTGCTTGATCGGCTGCCCATTTAATATTATTTCTCCCGTACTTTTTTGCTTCCTTCCAGAAATTATTTTTAAGTACGTCGTCTTCCCAGCGCCAGATGGTCCAAGAATAGCCGTCATCTCCCCACTCTTGAACGACTGTGTTATGTCCCTTAGTATGTTCTTGTATGTTATGTTGTTGAATGAAAAACAAATTGAACAGCTCTTGGTGCCCATCCTCTCTAATGCACTTATACTGCTGGATTGGTCATTTGAAAATGTCTGTGTCTGTGCATTTTCTATGGAATTCTCCTGAACTGCCTGCTGTGCTGCACTTATGGCGGGACAGTCTCCTTCTTCTTTTCTTTCTATTTCTATCGCGTCTTTTGGTGTAGATGTATCTACCTGTAGCATAATAAATTTTTTGTAAAAGTTTTAGTATAATAAATTCGTTAAATTAAATCTTTTGTTTATTTATATGGAATGCCAGCAGACACACAGCACGCCAGACACGGTGCACTTTGCCTGTGATGATGTAAATAGTAAGCCTACAAGAGAATATTTGTACAATGGAGAGACTGTCTGTGTAGAAGGAGTATTTGATGGTGTAAAACTATCACTGTATAATGAGATAAACCCTAACCCAAAATCACCTAAGAAAGACTCTCGCACGGATTTAGACAGTCTCAACCCAGAATGTTCTCCCGTGGAGGATAATGGGCCTCAGGTGTGTAATACTGCTCTGGACCCACATAATATAAATTATGAAGAAAGTAGTAGTAATATAAATTTACAGTCTATTGAAGGACAAGTATGCTCTGGGTATGAGTATATTACTGGGAATAGGCCGTATTGTATTCCGTGCTCTGTGGTTGCAGTTAAATTTGAATATTTAGAATTTTCAAAGAGCATTGAGTGCCCTGAGAGTTATTGTCTCTCGAATGTGATAAACAATGCGGAAGAAGTTGTTCTTAAAAGTGAAATATTTTCTGTGGTGCCTCCATTCCAATTAATTGAAAAAATCCAAGGAAATTATATTTTAGTCACTGCAGTTCCTGATGGAGCACTTTGTTCCTCTTCTTCTGATATCCCTGTTATTTCTATAAATGGGAGAAGAATGGTGCATAAAGAAAATGGTGTGTATAAGATCAAACTATTAAAAATAAGTGATTGGAGTGTGCCCATATACATATCTGCTGATTTTGGGCAGATTCATTATACAAGAAAGTCCTCTCTAGTACTCCCGAATGACTTTATGTATTCAATAGGGCTTAAGCGGATAAAGGAGAAGTTCTTTATTAAACTAACTCTGTGCAGAACCCTGGCTAATTCATATAAAATCATCATTATGAACCCATTAATGGGAGATGAGTATAGTGAGCCTGTGGAAACCCTCCATACAAACTCATTAGAAGATGCGCTTGATGTGGAAATGTTAGATGAACAGTCCATAGATATTTCTGTGCAGGATTTATTAGTGGGTGCACTAAAACATGAAACTATAATTGACTCTCCAGATACAGTCACTGAAATACTCCTGCAAATACAGAAAAAGAGTTCTTTAAAAAGAAACCATCTTTTTTCAGCCAAAGTAAATGATTTTCCGATTGAGTTCTTCATCAAGATATAACCCGAATACCCTCTAATACTGAAATATACTTACATAACCAGAATATATTTCATATTTATTAGGTATTCTACCACTGTAAATATAAATAACCCGAATAAAAACTTATTACACCCAGAAATAACCAGATCTAGCCCGAATTTCAATCTTTTACCCCATATAATTTCTACTGTACGTAATAAAGTATACTAAACTACCTCTATGCATATTTCAAATTATCCATATCCTGTATGCATTTTAATAGTTATACAGAAATTCTTAATTATCAGACGTATTGTATACAGAGTATATCTTATGCTTCACGTATATTATATTGTATTTTATACTCGGACGTATTCTGAATATATTTTATATTCCTGGCGTATGCTCTTATTAGCTAAAAAATTTATTAAATTCAATTTTCTTGCAGTAATGAATAATGAGCACTCTTTAGCTGAAAAAACAGTAGTTGACCTCCTGGATAAGTTTGAGTCCAAGAAGTACCAAGAATTAATTGAATCTGCATGGAATGTTCTTTATACTGTGATTATACCTTTCAATATAGAAGGTATCCACCTTCTTCTGTCTAACTACATAATAATTCTATCACAAGCACTCTCCATTGAAAGCATAGAAGATGAAGCAACCCGTATACTCTCTGTTATTGACTTAATAATCCACCCAAGAAAAGGAACCATCATAGAAGGAAAGAATGAATTTGACGATATAATAAATGAACCAGTAGAAGCCCCATCACCAGATAAAAATAATGATTCTTTAGACAGTGATAAGACTAAAAAAGTAAAGATTTCTATTATAGAATAAATTAGAATTAATTTTATTTCCATGAATAAAAATAAAAATGTACATAAATGGATTTATTCGTGTATGTTTTATGTATTTTAATATTCAATAACTTAGGCAGTATAAAGAATAAAATACTGACGTATCATGGACTTAATCACCGTATATAAACTGACTAATTATTGAAAATGCTTAAACTCTGCATATCGTATATATTAAACATAACAACTAAAAGAGACAAGAATACAAAAATCCCTGTTATAACAGTGGTGGCAGACAAGCACAGTGGAGTAACCCTTATCTTTCTCTTTTTGCACACAGCAGATATTTCATACTCAACTAAAGAAACCAGTGCAATTACACCCGGGATTATATTCAGAACACTCTTAAAGTCGCTCTCTGGGTACGCATACCTTATGAAGAAAAAGAATGCATGCGATAAAAGCATAAATGGATACTCAAAAGACACCGTAAGTGAATTAGTCACAATAAATGACAGCCATGAATTCCCCAATAAAACCCCAGGGATAATTAAAATCAGTGAGAATAAAACAGAAATGAAAGTTTTTTCAATCGGTCTGACTTTTTTTATATTCTTCTCAGAATAATTATCCCATGCAATCATGGTAAGCACCACAGAAATACTTAAAACAATAAAATTTAAAATACTAAATGCACTCTTTTTATACAGCCTATATACAATAATATAATTATACATAATAGCCATACCGTACAGCAGTAGATGAACGAGTGTTTTAACGTATAAAACAGACTGTTTATACAATAACTTATCACTAGTGGGTTGCATACCCCATGCACTGCCTGTTGGAACAATAGTAAATTTAAGTTCATTACTTTCACAGGCACCTCCCCGTCCTGGTCCTCCCATTGGCAGATGCATCATTTTATGTATAGGATACGTACTCCTTTATATACTCATTAATATGTATATCTTAAGGCTAATTTCTGTTATAATAAGTCTATTTTCTATTATGAGTAACTATTTTATAATTCAGGTTATTTCTATTTTAATATAACCTGAAATTCACATAAAATAGAATATTCTGATACTGCCATAATTACATAACTGTATAACAGAAGAAATCTATTCAATATTATGTTTAATACCATAAACAACCCGAATAACACGAATTATAATTAAGTATATTATATGGTATACATGTACACCTATAATACTTTATACGCCTGAAATGCGCCTGAAATGCGCCTGTAATGCGTATGTAATGCGTATGTACTATGCCTAGAATATGCCTATAATACACTTGATATGCTTATAATATACCTATAATATACCTATAATACACTTGATACGCCTATAATACACCTATAATACACTTGATACACCTATAATATACCTATAATATACCTATAATATGCCTATAATATACACTAGTGACATACCTATAATACACTTGATACGCCTATAATATGCCTATAATACATTTGATATATGTACTATGTCTGTACTATGCCTATAATATACCTATAATACACATGATAACCCGAAGTATAGCCTGTCTTACTGCACACTCTCTGTAAACACTCTTTTTAATATGCCTATACACCGATATATTGTTGTATATTTAGTCTATTCTTACGATAGATCCTTCTAATTCATGCAATTACCCTTAAGTTTAATTTAAATGGATCTAGATGCGTATATTGCATGGTCTCTCTGCCATACTTAGACAAATTAATTATTTTTTGAAGGTATTTAAAGGCCTCGCATTCTGAGTTTCAGTGTCCCGGAGAGCTGCTTCTCTTTCTGGTGCAGTGAAGTTATAAGTGGTGTGCTGAGAGGTGCAGGAGAACCCGACAATTCGACACTCGGGCGGGGTCTTCTACTATCACATCCCTTCGGGGGAGCCATATGGGTTAGATTATGCTCCAATCTTTTTATTAGGTAATTCGACGCATGTTACTTTTTCCCTTGATGCTTGTACATCTAACATTTAGAACCGCTGCGTAGTCTGCACCGACTTAATAAGGCACTAGCGCGTACATGAATTCCCCTTCCTGTACCTCTACCACAGCACACTGCTTATAACTTCGCTGTATTGGATTATACTATATCACTGGCATAGGCGTAATATATATGCGATATCTGTGTAGTAAGCTGGACCTCAACTCGCGGTAAGCCGCTGTATCAATTACATATACATATGTTTAGTAATGATTTACTGTAAGCAGACAGTACAGTGCAATCCTCATGTACACAGCCAGTACACCTATTATTAAATAAACGGCTACTCCAATCTGTCTGCTATTTATAAGGCAGTGCTTGGCTCTGCTGCTCTACCCCAGCTGTATAATATCCTCTGTCCGTAAGCCTCGAATGGCTTTTTATTTTAAATTCTTATTGAAATTCGGGTTATTTGGGTTTACTCCTTGCACATTTACACTCAAACCAGTAATAATCCATAACCAACCATAACCGGAATAATCCGAATGCAAATTGCGTATAAGAAGGAATAGATTATATTGCATAAATAATAACCCGAATTAACCCGAAAGTAATTTATTATTGTAATTAGCAGTGTATACAGTAAATAGTCAAGTAATGACTAAGTATAACCCTAATTGTTTTTAGGGGATACACATTTTACAATTGGTGTGGGAGTACCCATCCGCATTACATACGAAATAGATGAGTCTAACTGTTTTTTCTCCTCTGGACTAAGTACGCCTGAGGATGTTTCCTGAATGGTCCCATCTAAAATATTCTTTGCACGGAGTTTCTGGAAAAGAGGACTCGTCATTAAATTCTCAAGTATCGCACCTGGATCAGGAACTTCATTCGAATTACCAAATGGTTTATCATCAGAAGATACGTATACATCCTCTGTTTCATCATATGCACTTACATCCTTATCCGACAGAGTATGCTCAGCAGCTAAAAAAGAAGATACCCCCACAGACTTCCTCAGATTGAATAAAAGATCTGTGAATAAATGAGATTCAGTACACTCACACGGTGACCCTTCTTTTAAATCTTGTATGGCGTACGTAATAAGGTCTTTTACATACCTGAGTACTTGGCAGTAAAGTGTGATTATTTTTTCTGTACGCGTATTATTTTTATTCTCTTGGAATAATGTGTTTATTACGGAGTAGTATAATTCAGCATACGCATCCTGGAATGATTCAGTGCGTAATAACCAGTAGTTCATTATAGGGCACGGTGAAAGGGCTTCTGCCACAAGAAATTCAATTACATCTCTGTGCATATCAACAGGATTAGGATCAGCAGTGGATACGTGAAATTCAATATTTCTTGAAATAGTTGTTCTCCACTGCTCGTGTAAATGATTTCTATTCTGTTTAAGGTAGAAGAATATAAGAAGGGGAGAATATGACGAACATTTCATATACGCAGTGTTTTTAACAATGTCTATAATTTCCCTAATAAACTCTGTAAGTAAGAATGTCATGGGGATATCTTGGTTTGTCTTGAATATTTTTGTTTCTTCTGTAATAGGAGACAGTTCACTTACGGCTTGTGGTTTCTGATGCTCAGATGGTTCTTTAATTAGTGAAGGTAGCTCATTTGATTTACGATTCAGTTCAGATGGGTTCTGATTAGATGGGATTTGTACAGTGGCTGCAGAACCCGAATAACCCGAATTTAAACCACTTCGATTTGACTGTCTCTGCCTTATACTGGGAATAGAAATAGAAATAATTTCATCCTCTGATGAGGCAATTAGAGTACTTGTAGAGCACATAGAGCACATATTTATCACTATCTTAACAGGGGCTAGTGCTAATTTAAGTGTTGCTTTAGATGTATTCTTTACTCTACGGCCGACTGAATTTGCACTTCTTTTTATACTCCTAAGAAGCCCAGAATGATTTGGTCTTTCTGATTGATGGGGTGTGCTCTGTGGAGATGTCATGTGATAATCTGTACGGCCTCTTCCTTATTTATGAGTACAATCTGAAACATAAACAAACTGTTGCTATAACACATTTGTATCGGCTCTATGCAACTGTTTATCTTAAAGGATTCTATTTGCACATGTCCCAGTAAAGGCAAATAAACAGTACTGCATACTCCTGTAACATAGTTTCATAGCGTACACTTCCTGCGGTGTACTAGTCCGTGTACACATGTATTATAACCCGAACACTCATAAATTCATGAATAAATCAAGAATATTGTACTACTCTTCACATAATTTATCCTTTATATACGATAATCCATACACAGCCAGAATAATAATATATTCTATTATGCCTGGTTTATGGCTATGGCATGACTAGTTTATGTGCTTATTATGCCTGTATTATAGTGTGCGTATTATGCCTAGCTTATGTACATATTATGCCTGTATTATATGCGTATTATGCCTGG